TTGATGCAATTTGCTTAGCTTTTTTATTTTTCTGTTGGCTGTAACATGTCAAAACACTTGTGCACGGTTTCCATTTCCTGAGACTTGCTTCTACGCAATTATACGTCGCCAACTGTTACTAAACCTTGGCGAGACCCTTCTTCATCAGATGTTGTTACATGTGTGACAAATATCAATGAAACTAGTGCGGCAGTGAAACTTACAGCCACTTTACTGTAGAAGTTACCTTGTGAAAGAGAGCGTAGGCTCTTTTACTTCCACCAAATTTTATAAGTGATTCTTCTTACCTGCTGCCATATTAGCATTCCTGGTGGTCTTTTTTAATGGTAATTTGGTGTCGAATCTTGACAATACATATTAACTGATTTGGTTTTCTATTCCCTCTATCTGTCTACCTCGAGATGTATCAATGCAAGAAGACATTAGCTCACGTTCGTATTCTCTTGATTGATAATTTAAGGATAAGTAGCATGCATTTAAAAAACAAAAACAAAACAAAAATTCAGAAAAGCGCTGTTCAAACTAATTGCCTCTTTGACATCGTTCCATGACCCAAGGGCCCTTTTTGGTTCTTCGCTGTAGTGTGCTCCAACACTAAGTAGAGAGGGCGTTATTGCTCTCTCTAAAGTTCCATTCTACGCCGAATTACATGCACATGAATATGAAGGTAACGGACTAATGCCCAGTATGCGGTTGAGTCGCAATCGTTAAGAGTCTTCCTCTATAAATTTATTAAGTTCTGTAAATTTGATTGAAGCTCGCAAGGGCTATATAGTCGTCCGTACTTGTCTCTCTTTTACGTGGAAACCTTTGTAATCGTCGTAGAGTAATGTTTCGGTTGTAATTTTTTGCTTTGTCGTCATCTCATTTGTCATCTAATCCATCCTGTGGAGTAAACCTTGAAATTGTGAAACGCGCCAGTTGTCATTTTGGGATGTCTACTCATCGTCCGAACTAGACTATTATTATCGGTCGCCGAGTCGCTGCACTGCGTCTCTTTCTGTGGTCCGTCGGCTTCCACGAGAAGGGGTCTAGTACGTTCGGCTAGGATTTGAAATGAAGGTTATAAAATCGTCCAATAACTCACTGTAAAACTCGTTTCCTAATCGACAGGATGACCGAGCTCCAAAAGAGAAAATCAGAAAGGTGCCTTTAAGTATGTGTATCATTTTCATTTCGTTTTTGTGTTTGTCTGATCAGTGAGACATGAATTCGTTTTTTAATTGATGGCTCTCAGGCCATTAGACATGTACATCAAGCCGAACCTTCACCAAGTTTGATGACCCCTTCTCAGGGGCCGTGAATGTAACTTTTTAAAGTTTGAAAATCGCTCGCATTAACCTTCCAAGTACTCATGTGCACACGTTAAAACTTCTTTTGTTTTCTTGCAGAGGAGCAAAATGGAGAGCGAGTCCTCAGACGGAGAAAGTGACGAGTTTTCTGTGAATGTTTCCGATGAAGTGACTTCACGGCCCCGCCGTCCTGTTGTAGTACCCAGACCTCCACCTGGCCCTCCGCCAGAAGTACATCCTAAACTTGTGGTTCGTCCTTGCCCAGTCTCTCCTCCTCCTCAGTCTTTCCCGCTGGACAGTGGTCAAAGTCACGTGATGGACTGTCAGCTCTGGCTTTCAGTGTTTAGCTTTCTCTCCCAACCCGAGCTCTGTCTGTGTATGCGCGTATGTCGCACCTGGAACCGCTGGTGTATGGATCGCCGTCTCTGGTCAGTGATCGATTTATCAGAAAAGAAAGTTGTGACCCCTTCGGCCCTGAGGGGGATTGTACGGCGCCAACCTTCAACTCTAAACCTGAGCTGGACAAACGTTACTTTTAAGCAACTGCAATGGCTCCTGAACCGTCTGCCGAGAATAAGAGAGCTTTATCTGAGTGGCACAACGGAAGCGACGGCGTATGCGCTTTCCACTGTCATCTGCCCTCGTTTGAAAGTCCTGGGGCTGAGCTGGTCCGTAGGAATCACTGACTCATTGATGAAAGAACTTATTTTACCTGTTTCTGACTCACTTACGGCTCCAGGGGACAACAAAAGCCCTCTTCTAAGATTATCCACTCTCTTTCTTTCCGGTAGTGACATCACTGGTTCGACTCTTCGTTTGCTGGTGCAACATTGCCTTGACTTGAAGAAGCTGGACCTGAGTTTCTGTCCCGGAATAACTGATCAAGATATTGAAAGTGTCTGTGGACAGGCATCGATAAATGAATTTCTTCTGAGTGGCTGCGCTAAGCTGTCTGATAAGTGCTTGTCCTTTTTGAGGCTCTTTCCGTCGCTTATCCGTCTTGACTTGCGCTCTTGTAATGGGGTCACTTCCGATGCCGTTCAAGAGTTTGTAAAAACTCGCAAGGATTTGCTGAAAATTCTGGAAGGAAAACTCATTGTAAATATGTAAATACGACTGGCTGTTATGCCCTGCATTGGCCTAACCTCTGCTTGATCTAACTCAAAACCCAAGAACGTTTTCTTCAGATACACCAACCTTCGCACGCCCATTCGTATCGTTCCTAAGCATTCATTCCTACGTTTTCTTTGTTGGTTGTGTGTTTTTAGTATCACTTACATTTTCACTCATTAAGTTCAGTTCGACGTAGAAGGGGTTATATTACTGTAAGATGAAGACGGAGGGTTGACCGAGGGTACAACGATCTTGGCGAATTTTTTTTCTGTTTTGTTTTGTTTTATTCTTTAGCACAACAATTTGTTCAACCTAATTATTGTACTTCGAATTTTTCCTCTCAAAGCATTTTATTTTCCTTGTACTGTAGCTTGTGTACCAGCCTGTCGTTATGCGTCCATTTTATTTTCACAATGCCGGACTCATGTAAACACAGGCTATCTTTCGTCGAGAAAAACGTCCACCTCAATATTCAACTCTTACTCCTACAGAAAGTTTGCCACACGCTTATAAGTTAAGGAGAATTACAAAGAATGTTTTTGTGCCTGGGAGCTTTTTCATCATCGTAAATGTTTAGGCTCAGTCATGTAATTTTGCTTATTTCTTTTAATTTTGTTTGTTTTTTTGTTTCGCTTTTTTCGTGAAACTCGCACAACTTTTAGTGGTTTATAAAATATCGAATTGTTACCCCTTGAACTTAAAAGAAGGTGGTTGGCTGTATTTTGAGCCTTTTCAGTAGACAAAAGACAGTTTCGGATAGTTGACAATAGTTAGGTAAACTAATACTGTTTGAGATTGAACCATACTCTTTGTCGCTTTTTTTATATCCAGGAGAAACAAACATCAAAACTAAGAGAGAAATAGTTCAGAGATGATCAGCATGAATTGGATCTTCTTTGAAATTGTTTGAGACAACTGCTTCAAAAGTGGGACATATTGAGAAAGAGCAAATGAACACCAGACAACTGCATTCATCTTTTTAGCTTTGTTTTCCTAGGTGCCTATTCTTAGAGTTTTCTCTCCTCCACTGCCATGTTAGCTTGCACAATGAGTCCTTCGTCCAACAACAGCTTCATAGTAGTGGAGCCATCAGAGAGGAATAGGTGTTCGACACATTTAACGAACGTTCTAACTCCTTTTAGTTCGTGATCACTGGAAAATATTGAAATGAAACTAACAAGCTCACGCATTTTTATTTTTTTGTAGTTTGATTACAATGTATTCCTCGTTCTATGCGGGTCTTATGACGATTGTTAAGGTTTTGTTATTTAAAAGAAAAAATACGATGGACTCGTAAGACATGCAGTTACCTAAATCCTAATGCATTTCGACCAGCTTTGTTAACAATTTTTTGAAAATTGTATAGTTTTAATGACAGCATTTTTTACCAGGTTACACATATAAAGTTACAATGAATTATTAAACTATAGGAATTGCGGTAAGGTTAAAAGTTTGGTTTGATGACAGTTGTACCTTGATTGAAGGAGGTTTCGCGCAAATGCAAGGTGGTTAGAGAACGTCCTCCGTCACGCGAACCAACTCAAGCCCCCCTCGTCTTTTTTATTCCACAGCAATTATCGGGCCTCGTATCACTAACAAAACGCCTTGAACAGCCTACGACGAATTTATCGAGCCATTATCATCAGTACGTCCCTGTCTTAATCAGTTGCGAACTTTCACGAGGGAGTGGATTGCAAATCAGCGTTAGCCGGCTGAAACCATTCGTGAGATCCTGTGCACGACTGACATTCATGTCACTTTCAAGCTTTGGCCTCCTACGCCGTACCGAACGTTTGTCATTCATAAGAAAAAAATCGGGGTGTGTGGTTTGTTTTTTCACTAGCCTATGGAGTGAGCACTGATTCCCGGCTTATGGCACATGTGGAATGATTCGGAGAGGTGCTCTTCTATTTCCGGTGTCGCTCCTCATAATTAACTTTTAAATATGCATTAGTCCCTAATCCAATAACCGTAACATCTTTGGAGTTTGGGTGTTTCGATCATCGATTATTAGTCGATTAATGTTCTTTTTGGAAACTTACACGTAGGAATATACCACATTCAAGTCGCAATTACAGCAAATCTGAAAAACGTAGTTCAGTTCTAAGAGAACCTAAAGAGTTGTCTAGACGTTACTCAATTGAATTGAAAACCTAAACTTACCTATCGGTTCTCGTGATGTGATGTATCGCTGAAACTACTGAAAAAAATAATATGACATGGTCACGGATTCCGTTCACCGTAAACTCCATTAGGTCCTTTCATCGCTGCTCATAGATCGCTAGTTATCACCTTTCAGTTTATTATCTCTTGCCTCCTATTACATCTATTTTTACGCTCTACAGAATCGGACCTTTCCCTTCAACGAACCGTCTACGGGCCACAATCGGCTGATTACCGACAGAAGGTGTTTGAAAATGAAAATATGGCGAATCGCTCCCGATTAGCAATTTAAGGACATAGCCGACAATATTTTTTTTCTTTTCTAAGAAATACTAATCCTGTCACTAAGGCCCTAAGAAGTCAGAGATACATCAAAACATGCCCAATTACGTTGCCTCATTGGTCAAATTTTGAGTGATTTTAAGATTCTCTTCCGCTTGAGGCGGCTTGAAGTGGTTTCGTTTAAACTTTTCTTTCTTTCGCAATTTTTCGCTATCTCCAAGTCTCGCCATGGATATCAAAACCCTACTAAACAATCTTCATGAAGAGGTCTCCTGTTCTGTGTGTATGAACACATTCAATGATCCGAAAACGCTGCCATGTTTACATGCCTTTTGCCTGCATTGTTTGAACGAGATTCTTCGAACGAGTGGCCGCCACGATATCATCGCATGCCCTGAATGTCGGAAAGAGATTCAAGTTCCTAGAAGTGGAAATCTTGAGGATCTTCCAACTAACTTTCGCATCAACAGTCTCCTTGACGTGTTGGCCATCAAAGAGTGCAGTGTTACTGGAGTTAAGTGTGGAAATTGCGAAGAGAGCAGCTCCCAAAGCTTTTATTGCTTCCAATGTTGTGCTTTCTGGTGCGAGGCTAACTGCATCAGTCTTCACAATGGAATAAAAGCGAATAAGGAACACTGTGTATTAGCGCTCAAAGACTTTAAAGACCAAGATTTTGAAAATGTTTTGAAGCGACCGGTATTTTGTCGCAACCGTGGCCACGAGAATAAGGAATTGGAGTTTTTCTGCAAAGATTGCCGTGTTGCAATTTGCCATTCGTGTGTTGCCACTTCTCATGACCGTCACGCTAAGATGCTATTGGAAGAAGCTGCAAATGAACAGAAATTACAAGCAATGTCTGCGATTGAAAATCGGAAGAAAATAGCATTGAAGAAGAGGCGAAAAATTGCCCAACTTGACTCGGATTTTGCCAAAATTCAAGAACATGTTGCCAGTGTAAAGAAAGGCGTGCAACAGTTTGTCGACAACATGATGGCTGTTATCGAGGCACAAAAGCAAGAAACCTTTGATGACTTAGACAACAGAGCTGCAGAATCCATGCATCGCCTGAGGATACAAAGAGGTGAGATTGAAAAACAAGTGAAAATAACTGAAACAGGCATCGAAGCTGCTGAGGCAATTCTGCAACGGAACATTAGCGCTGAAATCATTCAGTCAAACCAAATTATAGAAGAAACATTTCAGGGTCAAGTTGAGTCAGCTTATCCTCGCATTGGCAATCAAAGCATTGTAGATTTTGGATTTGTGAGAAATCAACGATTGTTTGATCATGTATGGACTGACAGAATTGGCTTTGTGAAAGTTCTACCGACAAGTCCAACTGAGTCGAGCGGCTTCGGAAAAGGAATCAGTGAACCGATTATTGGACTAGAAGCAAACATAATGTTGACAACAAGAAATGCTAAAGGAGAACAATGTTATGAAGAACGTGACTATGTAACAGTGGAGATCAAAAATCAAGAAGGCCATGACTGTGCAACGGAGACTCGAGTCCTGGATAACAAAGATGGTAGCTACAAGATCAGCTATTTTGCTAAAGAAACCGGAAAATGCCGTGTGTCTGTGAAGGTCAATGGAGAGCACATTCGTGACAGTCCCTTTGCGGCTGAAGTAAAACCCAGACAGTTAAGACCCGTGTTATCCTTCGGAAAATATGGTGCGGCCAAGGAAGATTTTAGATATCCCTGGGGAATAGTAGTAAACAAACGCGATGAAATTGCAGTCGCTAGCAATGGTAACAACAGGGTCCAGGTATTCAGTAGTGATGGAACTTACTTAAGATCATTTGGGTCTAAGGGGGATAAAGAGGGAGAGTCTAACTCGCCTACAGGGATTGCAATCGATAATGAAAACGGAATCGTTTTCATAGCAGATACAGAGAACCACCGAATTCAATTTTTCAGTGGGCAGGGAGAGTTTCTGAACAATTTTGGTGAAAAGGGAAATCTTGATCACCAACTCGAGTTTCCCCACGGGTTATCTTTCGGTAGTGACGGAAATTGTATTGTGGCTGATACCGGAAATAAGAAAATTAAATTATTTTCCCGTAGTATAGGCTCCGAGGGTTCTTTCACAGTACCCATTCACTGTATCCAGTATAAGGAATATCTTATAGCATCAGACTTTAATGAACACTGTATCAAAGTTTTTGACAAAGCTGGACATTTTCTGTACAAATTTGGAAAGTATGGAACAGGGGACGGGGAGTTCAATGGACCTTACCATTTGTCAATTAACAAAGCTGAGCACCTGATGGTCTGTGATACAAACAATCACAGAATTCAGGTGTTTGAGGTGAATGGAAAGTTTGTTGGAAAATTTGGCTCAAAAGGAAAAAAGGTAGGACTATTTACTGGACCATTCTCTATAGCAGTCCTCAGTGATGGTAGGATAGTTGTTACTGACTTTCACAATCATCGGGTTCAGATATTTGAGTAGCCGTATCCTCTGTTGTCTTATAATAGTGTTATGATAGTGTTATAATAGTAATATCATTAATCTTTCCGGTTCTTTAAACATTATTGACTACATGTGAAAGCTTCTTGTTACATTTGTAGGTTGAAACTTGTTTTTTTCACAATGTTTTACGACCGTTCACTCCAGTTGTAGCCAAGAAGATTACACGCACAAACGAGTTACAATAGACATAGCTCTATATCCAGAGAGTTGAGTATTAATTTCATAAAGGTTTGTTAACTATATTAGCTTTTTTTCTGAAAGAGAATTTAGTTCGATAATTTGTCAGTTTACAAGACTCGATTTGGCGATTCATTATGTACTCTTTGAGACTGACTGTTCACCTCTGAGGTAGTAGTTAGTGGTCAGGGAGTGGATTTTTTCTGATTTTGTTGTTGTGGTAGTTGTTTTTGGATTTGATCAAATTCAGTGCGAAAATATATCTCTAATAAGGAGGGATTTATTCTAAGATCACAAACCTACCGTCTATTGCACCTATAAACCCATAAAAAATTGCAAGTTCATTTTTTTAGAAGCAGTAGACCGCACTTTCTGTCATTAACTGGTGAAATAAATACTAATAGATCACTAATATAATAAATCACAAGCTGGAGGCGAGTGACATCATACATGGGTCATTATGCAGGTAAACCGATATAAGGTGCTGTGTCCTTATTAAATGGAGCCTGAATAGGAGACTTATGATATCTGTCTGTGTTTTACCCAATATTGATGGAATGGCAAATACTCACCAAAAAGGCACCCAAATTGTACATGATTCTCCTCATGAAAAACTTCACACGCACATTGAAATTGAATGGATTTTCTCAACTGGTCTTGGAACAGTTCTCTTTTTAGCTGAGATTACAATACTCTGTTGGGTTAAGTTTTACAATTACAGTAAGCCTGCAGCAGTGGCTGCTTCTGTGGTATTAGTAGCAGTATGCATTGTCTTTGTATGGTTTGCTGTGCATTTTTACTGATCTCTTGTCCAACACAAATAGATATTTTCAGGGAATTGAAGAACTTTAACAGATTGCAAACCAACTGTACACAGATACAAGGACGGCATCCATGTCCTAATCCCGGGGTTTCAGATAGTTTCCCTTGCGAACTGAATTCCCAGTTTTCTGGGAATTCCTAGGAATTCCTAGGAATTCTAAAAAATTCCCAATTATGCAAATGACCCTTGCAAACTGAATTCCCAGTTTTCTGGGAATTCCTGGGAATTCCTAGGAATTCCTAGGAATTCTCAAAAATTCCCAACTATGCAAATTAACTCTGATTTAAAAAGCTTGGAATTACTGGGAATTTCTGGGAAGGGAAGACTCTAGTTTTGTGAGGACTTGGAATCCCTAGGAATTCCTAGGAATTCTCAGCTTTACAAACTACCTATAATTTAAGAAGTGTGGAACTCTTGGGAATTTCTGGGAATTGAATTTGAGGCAATTTTAATACCCTGAGGTCCACATAAATTCTAAGAAATTCTCAATACCTTGAATGTGAAGGTTTTAAGAAAAGGAGTAAGGAGGCTTAAAACTTTGGCTCAATAAAAGGTATGCTATACAAAACGTACCTAGAGATATACATACATGTATATGTTTATAACTTAAAGATCATGAAATTTATTATTCAAACTAAGTTTTAATAAATCTTTACTTTAATATGGATTTTCTCATGAACCAGCTGTCAGTTATGTTAAATGGAAAATTGCCAATTAATCCAATGTACTCATATCACAGATTTGCTTTCTAACCTCAAAGGACTCTTGGATTCCATGATCAAAAAATATTTTTATTGTGATGCAAATTAATGTCTCATGTTCACTGATGTGCCAAAATCATCAAACATTCATTGGCTGTTCCTTGGTACACAACTTCCACAATAATTAATAATAATTACATTATTATCTACACTTAAAGAACTTTGTTAGTTATGAACATAAGTTACTTCCCTAACCTACATTACTGGTTGCCTTTGTTAGAAAACCTTGGAACAGTCAAGCTCAGTTGCCTCAAACACTGTCAGAGACTTTTTGTTGACAATATTTTTAGTAGAAATTTCATGCCTTAGACAAACAAATTCAACACCTAATTAATCTTTCTTTTTTCATGATTGTTGTTGCTGTTTTTTTTTTCAGTTTTTTGCTCTGTTTTTGTGACTAATTGCTGTAATTTGTTTTGCTGTTTTTATTCTTACAAAACATTTTTGTAAGAGTTCCAAAACTAGTGGATCATCCACACACTTTGCAAACATTTGGCATGCAATCTTTGAGAAAAAACACCTTTTAAATGACATCTTCAATTTACTTTATTTGAAACTCTGATCTGAAAATATTTGTCAACAAGACTTGTTAGTAGTGAGAAGTACCAACCAAGTTTCCTTTCATAACTTAATTTCTTAAGTGTCCCAATCACTGGATCTCCCAAAAAATATTACATCGTTTTATTTTTGGTGCAAAATACAAGTCCTTCTTTATATAAAAATGAAAATTGCAAGTCACACTTCAATAATAACAGCTCTAAAGTTTACTTGTTGTTCTTCTCTGTCTGTCATCTATCAACAAAATTGTTTTATACTTCGGACAGTGCATAACTATTTGTGGACCAGAGTTCCAACGCACCTCTGTAATCGCATATAGTTACTTCTGTCTCTTGTACAAATTTTTCTCCTTTGTAAGACGCACTCTACTCTGTTGTCACTACTGCTTTGAGTTCAGTGGAAACGACTGACTGAGGAATCGAGATGGCGGTGTTGGTACATGTTGCTGAACGCTTGCTACGGTCAAGCTTTGTAGATTTAGGTACTGGTACACTGGGATCATCTATGTATCTCTTATACTTCCTAATGTGGTATCCTTCTTTTATAAATATGAGGGTAAAAGACGATTTGTAGTCGCATTCAAAACTGTGATTGGCTTGTGTTATTTCTCACCTTTGCCATGAACACAACTCAAGTGAGTTTCAAGTCTTTGTTTCCTCGACAACTTTCGGCCACAAATCGTGCATTTGTAATACGATCGATTCTTGTCGATTCTTTCCACATAGAGTGAGCTCACATCATTATTTATATCACCAAGGTATTCATTGTCTAGAAGCAGAGAACCGGTCGGAGAAGTCAAAATAAAGTTGTGCGCTTCTCTTAACACTGCAATCGGCAAGCCAGCGGATTCACTTTGCTAGCCAATGACAAGTCCTAAAAGATCCACGTGATCATGCCCGTGATCGGAAACAAAGAAGACTCTATTTGGCGCTCATCTTTGAATGTACTTTTCATCGATTGATCGTTTTTCTCAACTGTTTTGCTTAATATAACATTTCTAAAGATAGCTTTTATTGTGGTTCAATGGGAAAACGAGAACAGCGTGAGTGTTGTAAAAGAAAAGAAAGTCGTTGGCGCCGTGGAGTTAAAAGAAAGGACAACAGTTGACATATTGACTGGTACAAACAAGGGTCGAGTGGCCATCTGTAAAGCTACGATTTTGAAAGTTTGTGGTGAGTAAAAATTGCGATATTCGTTACGTGATCAAAATCTTATAAAAGAATAGATGTAGCGGGTTGAATTAAGCTTACATAACGCTCGGTGCAACTGAAACTAGAATAATTCTGAGAATCGAATCGGTCACTTGCATGCCGCAGTTTCTTAAGCTTATGCTTTACAATGAAATAAACCTATCAGTAAGGTTTCAAGATTCCTCTAGTCGCGTTTGGGAACATTCAAGATTCATAATAGGAACTGTTATTAAACAAACCTTAGTACATAAAGAAGCCCTCCTTGGTAAAAACAAAATAATGTATTCAGCCCTTTTTTTTTTGTAAAATCCATGAGAGAGATGTACTAACTCCAATATAAAAGTCACTCAATATAACAGAGATTTCTCAATTTGAGAATCCAATGAATGCCCTTTTCCTCATAGCCGTCTCAAAAGCCTGGTCTGAGCTTTAAATATACATATTTTAATATATTATTTTTTTTCAAATTCAGATGTCAAGGAATCCAGATACAAAATGGTCAAGGTTCTTGTAGACAACCTCATTCAAGGCCAACTCATTGTGAGCCCAGGAAAAAAAATACAAACAGTACAAACAGCAGCTAAGTTTGCAATTTAGGATAAATTCATTCTAATTTATTGTTACAGTTACAACAAGATTTTAATCAAAAAATCAATTTTGTTTGTCTGTAATTAGCCCCTTCACTCCCAAGAGTGCTTGGTTTTCAGATATAACTTAAGATATTGTATTTTATGGAAAAGAATCAACAGATTTTATTCACAATTTGTGTCAAACAAAATTTAATGGTTGATTAGAACTATTTTATATGAATAGCTGTAATTGAGGATTAATCCGTATGAAGTTTTCAAGAAAAGAAAAATAAATCAAATTCCATCCTAATATTACCACACATTGATGTTAATAATTAATCAAAAATATTTTACATGTAAGCCTTAATTAAGCTTCTAAATAAATTTCATTGAATACTTGAATTTTAGCTGGGTCTTTTTAATTTAAAGTATTTATTTTATATCATTAGCCTCAAATTTTTGCTTAAAATTCCCAGTAATTCTTAAACATTCCTAAAAATTCCTAAAAATTCCCAGAAATTCCTAGGAATTTTTTAGATTGACAGCTTTTCAGGGAAAGTCATTGGTTCTCTGAGTTGGAATTTCTAGGAATTCCAAGTCCTGTTGGCTATAAACTTGGAATTTCTGGGAATTTCTAGGAATTTCTAGGTTTTTAGAACCAGAGTTGTTATGTTTGGGAATTCCTAGGAATTCCCAGTCCGAATTTACCGTGAAAATTCACACCTTTATTCCTTGGAATTCCTAGGAATTCCAAAAGCCATTTTGCAAGGGCGGGGTTTCAGATAGTTTTTACTTCACAAACCTGGTGTGTCATATTTTTTATTGGCATGCTCCTTGTTCATACTGCACCTTCCAAAATCTAATTTGCAATCCTCCCTTTTGCTGCTTCTCTGTTCCTTCCAAATTGTTAAGATAATTTTTTTCAAGATAATTCCCTTTAGCATATACACTATGTTTTCTTATAACCTTTTTTCTGGATAACTTATTGAAACTGTAAAGGGAAGAGACTTGATATGCACTTTTGGAGGGATAAGTTACAAATTGATATAAAACAATAGAAACTCTTAGAAGTGATAAACATATAACTTTACCTAATGATATCCACACATTATCCAGCAAACAGGTAATGAGAATACTCAAGCTTATCAGGAAGAAGTGTTACCTTGATCTAAAATTAAAAACCCATAAAAAAATTACAAGAAAATGTGTGGCAGGTAGAGGGGAGAATTAACAATCAGATCTTGGGAGTTAAAGGGTTAAACTACCACCAGTATTACCAGTGTGTCATCATTGTTGGCTATAATGAGTGCATTGTGATCTTATTTACTCTGTCTTTTCTGTGGGGTCTTTTTTTTTTGTATTAATGTGGAATAGTAGTAAATTATTGTAAATTGCAATCTTGAGTGTTTTATAGGACTAGGGGTTCCCATTTAACACTTAACCCTTTAACTCCCAAGATCTCATTAGTAATTCTCCTTACTGTCTGCCATATAGTTTTTGTGATGTTAGTTCAGAGAATTTAGTATTGGATCAACTAATAATTCCCTATTATATCCAGAGAGTTGAGTATTAATTTCATAAAGGTTTGTTAAATATATTAGCTTTTTTTTTTCTGAAAAAGAATTCAATTTGATAATTTATAAAAGGATGTTTACGTAGTAAAGATGGGTATTTTGCGTTCATTTCATCTTGCCTTTATTCTGATCAATTTCACAACCTGGCATTTCCTAAGTTTTTTTTAACGTGACCGAGATAATTCGAAAGTTCCCAAATGTATTTTAGACGAAACCATTTAGATTTGGGTAACAAGGAGTAAATAAAAAAATCCACTCAAACCAAACGATCACTACTGTCTCAAAAAGTGAGGGAAGAAGAAGAAGATTACACGCACAAACGATTTTCAATGGACATGGCTCCGTATCCAAAGAGTTAAGTATTAATATCTTTTTTTTACATTAGTTTTTTTTCTGAAAAAGAATTCAATTTGATAATTTGTAAAAGGATGTTTACAAGACTCGATCTGGTGATTCATCATGTGCTCTCTGAGATTGACTGTTGAGCTCCAAGGGAGTAGGTAGTGGTCAGGGAATTAGGAATTTGTTCATGCTTAGCGTGCGTATATCGAGTTAGGGATGTACGCGGGAAGTTTGGAGAGCACGAAAATGCGTAGGGGTCAAGCAACTCTAGCTTTTTTAGTGCTCTCCAAACTTCCCAAGTGCATCCATAACTCGACATACGCACAGCTAAAAGCATGAGCAAATTCTTTTATAACAGAGCGACAACAAGGATCTGCGCGAAGAAGCCTTTCATTATGATAAAATTCTCAAATTTAGCGCCGAAATGTCTCTCTAACAAAGAGAGCTTTATTCACCTTGTGATTATTTTATCATTTTTAATTTTCAGAGATGAATTTGAACTACTGGATTTGTTTGCATTCGAACAAAATTCTTTCAGTTTGGG